TGGGTTTGAACTTGCCAGCTCTGGTATATGTGGCTGGTGCCCTGGCCATTGAGCTACAGGCGCCAAGCCTTGAGAACACATTTTTTAACGTGTTCTCAAAATATTAATTAGAATATTTAGAAAATAAGATTCAATAACATTATAATAGAATTTTTCTTTATAGTAGCACACGAAGCATCATTCTATCTTCTTCATTATGCTTCAAACAGATGGTCATTAAGTGAAAAATAAATTCTAACATACCTTATGAAAGTTCTGGGACCACTGCCTCAAAGCATATGAGAGAAACTAAATTAAATAATATATTTAGTTTCATTATTAGAAATGAATTACATTTTTAGTTTCTTTATACAGCTGTTTGTTTTTGTGACAAAGGCATAAAGGTAGGTGAGTTAAATAAATTCTCTGAGTTCAAAATTCCCTTGAATTATAATGTATTGTTTAATAAATGAAAGGTGTCCTCTCCTATTTTGCACCAAATCTATCATTGATTGTGTTAAGAAGGTTGCACCCATGAAGGGTTGATGTTTTTGGTGGTTGGCCACATGCAGCGGATAAACTTGGATATTCCCTTCTGAAAACCTCGCCCGGCAGCAAGTTCCAGCTGTTTACAGTCGGGGGACACCACCTGTACCACAGCCAATGAACGCTGCAGCGTGAGATACAGCCAAACTCACAGCCAGCCCGGTTCTGGAGGAAATGAGAGCATACCAAAATTGAGGAAGTTATAAAAACACAGGTATAAGAAAGCATGTTATTTCCTCTTCTCATTCATGTGTTTTATCCGTTAGGAACAAGAGCTAAATCTTATGCATACAATTTATCCTCTCTCAGCACATGTCTTCTTAAAAGTGAGGGGCCAGTTGAAAGGGAGAAAAAAAAGTCCAAAGGAATGAAGGAGCAGAGAAACGGCGCTAAGTAATGTACAAACTAGAAAACACAGCACTGGACAGACAGTGGATTGTACTGCTTTGCTGGTAAGTGTGATAATAAGTTTCTCAAAACAAGAGGAGGAGACAGTCTCGAGATGGCAAACAGGGGCATCCGGGTCATCTTCTCCTGCTTAGCAGAGGGAGATCGCTGGGTGCCAGGAAAATCGCAGTCCTAGCTCTGACCTGACCTTTACCGATCTCAGAGTTTCAGTTCCTCATCTGTGAAAGGGGGAGATACCCATCCCTACGTACTCCAACTGAAAATTGTCTGAATATTATTTCTGGGGTTCATATATATATATATATTTTTAAGAAAAGGACAAACCAAATACAAATCAAGATAACCGCATGAGTCATTTTCAGTTCATTACAAGGTTCACGTCATACATTCAGGGGGTTGCTACAGAAGTTTTCAAAGCTAAGAGCTAAAGATTTGAGGGCCAGCTAAAGAGAAAACATTGGCTATATTTTCCTGAAATGGTTTTGATAAACTTAGTCAGAAGCAGAAATATACTACTTCCAAAATTTAAGGCCATAGAGTACATGGAAATTTAAAATTCAGCTAGCATGCCCCTGTGTTTATTTAACAGATCAGTTACCACAGGAAGCTGCAAGATTGAGCTTCTTAAGAAGTAAGATAAAAATATCTTCCGTCTGTTTATACAAATTAGTACATATTAGCCACCGTCTTTTCCTATTTAGTACCTCTTAGCAATTTTCTTCTTGTTGGACAATTACTGTCCTAGATTCGATTACCCTTAGTAACTGATCATCAGATTCACCTTAAAAAAACAAAAGGAAAAAAACCCCCAACATTCATAGTATGGACCTCCTGTCCATAAAATGAACAGATTAAAAAAATGTTCAAATGTTTTAAAAATTGAAATAAAATATCAGAACTATTTTGGAGCTTCTCTTTCTAAAAAATTCTTCAACACATTTCATTTAAAAGTGAAGTACTAACCTTAGCTTAGACTTCAAACAGTATTTCCTTCTTTATACAAAAACATTTCTACATAAATCCATACAAACACATAAAAAATATATAAATCTCCTCCCCGAAAAGGCTTAAATTTTTTCCTTTTTATTCTCCCCCACCCCACCCACCTCAGGACCCCGAGGAATGTGATTGTTGTACATACCATCGGCAGACAGGTGGGCGTGACTGGAATAGGCTTTATCTATTTCTAGAAAAGCCAAGGTCAACACAGTTTCCAAGTTCTTCTCCTTCGGAAGCAAATCCCTTTGTGGGGGGAGAAAAGAGTCCCAAAGCATCATTTTAAAATAGGCATCTCTCTTCACACTGAATGCAACAGTCATTCCACACAGCGGACCTCAAAAACGCTCCCATCAGATGAAGTTTCACTGGTTCAGGAATGTATGGAGCATGCATTAAGGGTTAGCACTGTGATAAGCTTTTAAGGGCACAAAAATAAAAGTACCAGTCCTTGTCCTTAAAGAATTAGCCCTCACTAACTACCACAGCCCCGAGAGGTCAAGAATCACTTCATATTAACTGAAACTACTGAGTTCCCATGTGGAATGAGGT